AATCAGACCCTTGTGGTATCCTTCCGGTCACTCCGGAAACCACTCCCAATGCACTTCAAATCCTCCCAACGCACTTAGAGAAATTCTACGACTCGGATCACTGCTGGCAGCGGAAGGTGCCAAAGGCAGAGAGGGCAAGAGACGGAAAAAGGGGTGAATCCGTTGGTTCGCCACCACGGATCGGACCAACCTAGTCTTGAAATGGCGTCGGCCCAATTACTCTTAGACGGAATGTATTCCCAATACATCCAGGTACGCAAAGCGTACAGCATGACATGAATCAAACCACACATGCGCTCCAGATCGGGTGACTGGGAACGGCCCCGAATCAGACACATGAGGCTAGCGACGTTGTCGATCAGCCAGATGCCTCGACGACCTCGAAAGGCCTGCGCCCGATATGTGAGGGCATAAATGATCATCACCATCTCCAACTGGGCTATCTGCCTGTCACCAGGCTCCCACAGCTGGTAAACTTCCGGAGAAATGTTGGCGATGAAGGCTTCCCGAACCGGTCCCACCGGATCGTGCCAGACGATTAAAAATCCTCCTGTGCCCTGCTTTGGTTCCTCCAAAGCTGCGTCAGAAGCTACAACAAACCGCAAACATTCGGACGGCCTCACGGGAAGTTCTCGACAGGGTCGATGGCGAAGGATGGAATGAATCACATCGAAGTTGCGCTGAAGCCCTGGAGTGAGGTCGCGGTTGCGCTCTGTCTGGCGTGCTTTAATGGCTGCCAGACCTGCGCATCCCAACCTTCCGTACATGCCCTACTCGAGAAAATTGAGCATGCCGTAGAGCTTGGATGCCTGGCCTGAGGACAGGCTGTTGTGTGTCTGTGCCTCGGTAATCATCGCAGCTGTCTTCTGAATCAATCGCTCGCGGGCCCAAAACGTCACGAAGCCCCGACTGAGGTTCGTAAAGTCGTGATCAAGGCCCAGAAAGGTACCGGTAGGCTGCATCAACTGTTTCTTCTCCTCGGCAAACGGGGTACCTAAGAGGGTGTTCAACTGACAGAAAGCTTGTTGGCTGGAGCCGAAGCCTGACTGGAGGTCCGTGATGTGGGCGTCATCGAAATAGAGCGACACCAGACTGTATGTAAGCCGTCGGCCCAGTGCTTCAATGAGGCGGGAATACCGATTGAACGATGTAACCGCGAGCGGAAGGCCGAAGAGGAGGGATGAATACACCTGAAAGGCGGGTTCCCCCCGCTCAGCATGCCAGAAGCAGACGATACAGCCGCGGCTCTCTGCCTGACTGATAGGGGAATGCCGATACGCGTTCGGCCAATCTTCCCCTCCTGACTGCCATTCGTCAGCAGCCGTAAGAGTATGCCACTGTTCGTCTGTCAACAGTGAAGCAACCGCCCCCACATGTTGTGCAGGGCGCAACGGCGAGCATAGCACCAACTTGTTCCAATCCGAAGACCTCTCAGACTGGCCTCCTGTATCTCCATTATCAATGATCCGCTTTTTGCCCGAGGATTGGACAATCACACATCGGGGGATGAGGCGGAATGGTTCTCCTCGTAGTTCTCGTAGGAGCTGCGCCTGGGTCAACGGTGCAGAGCAGAAGCCTTGGGCGGCATCATTCAGCGATTGCTCCAGCAGCACGGCATCATGTCTGCCGGGTTTGAGCGAGGCGAGGGTCTTGTAATTGTGGGTTTCCCAGTCGTCGAGCACGTCCTCCATGGTGAGGATACGACCTGGCTGCTCCGGAAAGACCCCGTAGGGTGGTGCCGTACCTACAGCTGGCAGTCCCGCTACCAAGCCGTAAGGGTACGTGATATCCGCCCAGGACGTTAGGGTCACCAAGAGGGCTGTTAGTCCGATGTCCCTGGAACGGGTGACTGCCCGAATCGCTGATGTTTGGAAAGTCCGCAGGTGCTCGCCCACGCTCCTCCATCGCTGCTTCAGCTCCTTCAAGATGCCTAGGCTCTGCTCGCGGAGTCGTGGTAGGTCTGCGGAACGTGATGCATAGAGTTCAGCCACAAACCATAGATCATCGTCCAGCAGGGGCGACTGCTCAGTCGGGATGGGTGCCTGGCTTCGAAGGCAAGCACGCTGAAAGTGGGTGTCCGGGTCCAGCCCAAAACTCAAAAGCGGAGGTAGGGCGGCTTTATGGCTCAAAGCTCCGGCTTGCTGGCCCTCGGCATGACGTTGCCGCTGCCTCAGAGCTGCGCTAGCCAAATGTGGTCCCAGGGGCCCATCTGCCTTGAGATCGTGCTGGTCTCTCCAGCGTGGAAACTCGCAGAACGGTGCCTGATTCAGGAGGTCTTCGATCATCGGGAACTTGAAGTCCTGGAACCGTGTACCTGGGAAGAGGCGGCGGAAGCACGTGACAACGCCTTCTTGGGTGAATAGGCCCACTCGTGCTGGGATGCTCGCAGCCACTCCGCGGCTGGAGATGACCCCCAACCGCAATGCTCGAGATGCTGTCGAGTGATGCCTCTGGGCTTGCCCGCTTGCCGCTGCCAAGTAACGAGGTGCTTCCGGGGCTGTGGCGTCAAAAACCAACCCTGCCAGCGCATCAGCTTCGCAAACGTCGCTGTCATGTGGGCAATCACAGGCTAAGGTGCAGCCCGCCAGCTCTGGGAGTTCCGCCGCCTTGGATGACATGATGAACTCAACATAGCAAGGAAGCCATTCATCTGCGGTACAATCATGCCCTGGGGTGTACGGAGAGCACCATTTCGACAGGGGCAACTTGTGGCTGTGATGCCCTCGCCCTACGTAGATGCACTTGGCGGGAAGGTGGCCATCCACCAAGAGGTCGACTGCTCGACGCACGCGAGGCACCCGTGCTCGCTCGCGCGGGTCGATTGGTCGCAGGCCCAGCTGGATCGCCAAAGGAGTCATAGCCCAGCTGCGCATAGAGCGGGGGTCATAGTGAAGCCAGTGCTCCCGGCGGCCCACAGCCTCAGTCGGCGGCATCCGAGGGACGCGCAACTTGGCTCGACCAACACGTACTGCCCACCAACTAGTGGACACCGCAATGGCGAAGGCCAGCGGGGCTGTGTACTCAGCTTCCTCATGGCTAGGGAAGACTCGCTGCCCATCCAAGGTGTAGGGCTTCCACTCATCTGGGTCGTGCTGATGATGGCATTGGAGTGGCGGCCACTGGGAGATCTCCTGGGTGTTGTGCCTGAGTCTCTGCTGCTTGCACCGCGCCCCCATGAAGCAACATGCTGCGTAGCAGGTGTCCTGCCAATCGCCGGACGCCAACATCTGCTTCTCACGGAGCAGTTCCCAATGGAGGCTCCTCGCCGGATTCTCCCGCAGTGACACTCCACCACGAGCGGCCAATTCCTGGATCTCCTGGAGGACAAAGTCACAGGCCTGGTTGTCCTTGGTCACTCGCCGAAGGTCACTCCCTCGGAGGTGTGGAAGGCCTGTGGGGTGTTCGTCTGACCGCAGGGGTTTCGGAGCGGGTCGGCCGTCCTCGAACTTCCTGGGAATCTCTCGAGCGCGGGACTTGGTGCTACAGTCCAAAGCGGCACAGATGCAATCGGCTTGCTGCAACGTCTCGTGAAGCTCTTGCTGAAACTCCGGGTGTGCGAGGTCATGTTGAGGGTTGATCAACCAGTCGATGGTGATGCATCTCCAACCGCAAAAGATGAAGGCTCTGGTAAGCGGTGCATTGGGTCCTGACATCAGGTCGGCCATCAGGGGTCCCTCCCCTGATTGCGGCGGATCCTCAACAGACCCTGAAGAGGCTGCCGCTGCCTCTTCAAGGCCCCGTCAGGCCTTCGGGGTGTTGCGGCAAGCTGCTGCCCCATGATTCGGAGCTCCACACACCCGCTCCTTCTTGGTAACGTGGCCGCAACGATGTTGGCCAAGCTTGCATTTGCCCCCCTTACTCTTGCAAGATCCTTCCTGGAATGCCTGGCAAAGGAGCGTCCCATCACGGAGTACCCTGGCCACTTGTTTGCCTTGGATCGATTTCCCCAATGCAAACTTGGAGGCCGCTGGAGCGGCTGCTGGCGGAGCGCTCTTCCCCGGGGCGGTGGACGCTGGCTCTGCTGGTGTGGGCGGCAGCCAGTGTGCATCTCGCGCTTGGTAGACTTCTTTAATAATGACGCCGAGCGACTGAGAGCTTTCCCGAAAGCGTGCCGTCCACTCTGCCCGTTCTTCGGCATCACGGGTTTGGAGCCATGCCAGCCGTTTGCCTGGAGGGAGTGCGGCAGTGGCTCGTTTCGCTCGAAAGAAATATTGCATTGCGATGTCCAGTGGCACTTGGGCGAATCGAGTGCTGTCTGCTCCCAAAGTCAATTCTTCTTTGGGATCAAACCCTGGCCCTGGCGCAGGCAAAGGTCCCACCCCGGCCATGGAGTACGCCACCATCAACGTCTGCAACT